AAATATTGCAGAATCTGCAGAAGTGCGAAATAATAGTGACGAAACAGCTCCATGGGAAAGCGTTATTTGATCAGCCAAAATTGTGGTATCGACACCAGATTTTTTCTTTTCTAGCACAATTGCGGTATCTTCGCAGTGTTTCACCGCAGGAAGAGAATAGAGATTAAGATTACGGATGCTCTGAGAAAAATCTGTGCCTGTTTTAATATATGCAAAATACTCATTGCTTTAGTGGCATTCAAAAAGAATAAATTTTTAGTCAGTGAAACAGCCGAAGTGACATATACAACGAAAAGATGGAATTTTTAAGAGTAACAAATCTCAAGAAATAAAAATTAATTAAATTTTTGATCTAAAAGAGTAGAAATGGCAAATAACAATGCTGTATTGGTACCAAAATAATGTTTTAGTCCGAAACTACTCGAAAATATTACAAAAATACTCTCAAAACAGCTAAAATTCTTCAAAGCGAAAAGTAACATTAAAAATAAATAAAATTCATAAATAAACAAATAAAGGATCTAAGTGATATTTTTTAATAAAATTAGTCGAGTTATTAACAATTTTTGTTGCGCTTTAGGATTTAGAAGCTCGGGTTTTTGAGTCTGACGCACTACTGAAACAAATCTGAAAAATAAGTACAAGTTGTATTTCTTGTAGCTGTACGAGATGAAAATATTTTTTTGTACCTACTTATTTCCGAATATAATCAAAGTCGCTATTGAAATTTTAGATAATGTTCTTTAGGTTATCTAGACCTCCGCTCATTCTTAAAAAAATTGCTATGAAAAAGTCACATAATAAGTACTAGAATAGAAAAAATAAATAAAATGCGAAAAACGTGCTTTTTGGAGTCCTTAGCTAAGGGGAATTTTTTTTAAGCCTTCGATCTGAATTCTATTTAAACATTTACCCCATAGGAATAGGCAGGTAGGTGGGGGGATAGATAGGGGTAAGAAAGGACCAAAGAATGTTCAAGTGTTAGCTTGGAACGTAGCAGGGATAAAAAACAAATAGGTATAGTAGTTTTTGGGATTTTGTGGTGCAACATAAAATATATTTTTTTAAACGGGATATGGACAGAAGATAAGTATGTTATAGAAGTATGAAGGAAACTGGATATAAATTATAACTGGGGTATATTTGAGACGATAAGGGTGGGAAAAAAATTGGGGTAAAGAGGGGATGATTGTAGGGTTATAGAATTATGAAAGCAAATATGAAGGAATTGGATAGGGGAATAGTAATGATAGGAGGGTTAGTCGGGAGAGGGAGATAGAGTGGGTGATATTTTTCAGGATGGAAAAAGATAGAAAGTAAAAGAAATAGTAGAGAATAATATAGAGAATGTATAAGATAATAGTGTAACGTTAAAAGTATAACTTAAAATTACAATAAATATATATTGTAATGTTCGTGGGTTTAACAAATTAACTTTTAAGACTCACAACGACAAAAACTATTTATTTGCACTAATTATTATTAAAGGACTGAAAAACACTATTAAATTATTACTAACTTAGGTAATTGTTCTATTTATGTACACTTCTGTTACTATTCACTGTTCTATTTATTTCACTTCTTTTTTTTTTTTTTTATTTCTTAATTCACTTCTGCAACGGTCAATTTATTTCTACTCTACTTCGGCGATCGTCTCTTCCTTTTTATACTCCCTTGCCTCCTTTCGGGAACATTCTCCAGCCGTCCAGAGAAGTCTCGNATAATGCAGTTACTGTAATATAACTGCACAGATATAACAAAAAAATTAATTTAGTACTACAGTATAGTGAATATACATTATACTATAATATATGAGATGCCGGTCACTAACAGCTAACTGTAATACCGATATGCACATGCACGCCTTTCTATTCTCATAGCCTATCGCTTCGCGAGACGAAACGTTTCAAAACGTGTCGTTTCATGGCCTTGAGATTTTACTCTCATCGAGCCCAAAGAAATTTCACTTAACATGTTGACTACTTTTTCATATAGTAAACAAGAAGTTATTAGTTCCATAAGTCCATTCCTTTATATAAAATTGCTATCGCTATTCTTACGGGCAGTAGCTAATATAATATAATAGCAGGCACGGCAACATTCATATCTATTGAACGAATTGTACTAAAATATTTTATAGACTAGAATGTGAAAGTTTGCAAATTCACCTCTNCTTGCCTCCTTTCGGGAACATTCTCCAGCCGTCCAGAGAAGTCTCGTTTTCTTTGAACGGTTTAATTGCTTTCCCGGAACACACACTTTTACAGATACGGCGCACATGAAGAAAAGCGCCCGCGGCTAGTCGGCGAATCGATAAGCCGCTCACACACATGCCCGATGGCACACAATCACGCTCGTGGTCGCTACAATATAAATATATGTATAATTACCACAACAATAAGTTTTAAACTACTATAGAAGAAAAACAATAGGTGTATTTCACTAAACCTTAGATACTCTTTGTTGGATTAGTAGTTTTTGCATAAATGCAGTATAAATAATTACGAGCAGGTGTATTCTGTTAAACTAATATTTCCGTATAAAGTTGAATTATACAAAAGTTCTTCCGAATATAGCGCGATACCGGTGTCACTTCAAAACACTAAAGCATTGCTGCTTCGATAAATATAATAAGCTCATTTAGTTTTCTGTTTTATTCACTTACGGGGGTTAATTTGTGTTCTCATTTAATGTTTGAACTCAAAATATGATTTGTCGCTTTTTGGGCTTAAGAAGCCTTTATTAATTAATCATGAAAANATTGAACGAATTGTACTAAAATATTTTATAGACTAGAATGTGAAAGTTTGCAAATTCACCTCTCCCAATTTTCCAATAATATTTGAAGAAGGAAACTACTTCCAATCGATCAGTTTGTTCATTAATTTTTATGTGAGAAATAGGCGTTTGAAATTTCAATTCTAAGAGCGTGGAAACTGGTTCTCTCTTCCAAGCTCTATACGTGTAATCACTGTTATCAAAAACATGTTGACGAAAAGAATCATCAATATTTTTTTCTTGGGGATGCAATTACAGCAGGAGCGATAGCTAGATCCTTAATGGCATTTTGATTTTGTTTTACGATCGCAGGTGATTGTATTCAACATCAGTCGTATGGTTTTTGGGATACCGCTGTGTATCATCATCATAAGGTTGTCAGTCCTAGGACTGGTTGGACACGCACCTGCACTCACCCCTATACTGAGTTAATCATTACATTTCCCTAAAACTAAAACAACCCATATCCTTAACTATTTGCGAATCTAATCTAGGTATACTTCTACTCCTCCTAACTCCCTTTTAGGCCTCTAATATGTCTCTGACTAGACCTTCATGCCTGAGAAGGTGTCCTACTAACCTATCTCGCTTATTTCTTACTGACGTCCATAGAATCCTCTGTTCTCATATTCTTTCTAATACCTCTTCATTCCTAACCTGCTCTATCCACGGTATAACACCACATTNAAAATATTTATTATAATAAATAATCACACTAAATCACACGTATATCGAATTTATATTTTTGTATAATAATTTTGCAATTTATGCTGCGTCAAAAAAATTGCAAATTTTCTAATTTTTGCTGAGGCCAAACAAATGAGCTGTAATTTTTAAACCAGCGTTTACATTGCTTTGACGAAAATTTCAGCTTCATTCTGCTCATTCACGTTAGAACGAAGTTTAAGTAATTAATGCTTGCCTTGAAATTGGAAAGCTGAGGTTGTATCACACCCTCATCATCAATGGATAAATGCAACCAAATTTTTCAAAATTATTTTTTAGAGAAGTAAATGCCTCATAATCATAAACTTCCTTTGATCTTTACTTTTGCTAGGCTTTCAAAAGAAAATACTTTTGATAGCAGAAATGGTTTTACCGAATTTACCTCTACTGCTGTTTGCACAGTACGATTATCAGCTTTTACGAAAATTTGCTGAGTATTAAAAATAGCAATCTCAAGCCTTGCACACAATTCATGTATGGATAACCATCAAAAATTGTAATAAATTAGAAATAATAGCAGAGATGGACTTAATCAATATCAATTTTGATAAGAACTGAATCAGAAATTCCTCTATTATTAGTTAAACCTCCTTTCATCTTCATTGAACACATCAATATTTACTCAATGCACGTGTCCGACCGTAAAATAATTTTGGTTTGTAAATTTATCATATTCCGTTGGATTGATTTTGTACTCTAACTTGCACATATTTTGCAGGTATAACTGACATGATTTTGCATATAAAAAATGACCACCCGCATGAATTTAGGGTAGCATTTTACGCATACATTCCAAGTATTCCAAGTGTAAATTCAAATCTCCTGATCTCCCACTTTTAATAATTTGCTTCATAATGGTTACCAAATTATGATATAGTAATCACAGTTTTCTTAAAAGACAGAATTTTTTCAATGCAGTCATTTTCTTCACTAGGTACCTACTCATAGAATATTTTGATAAAATAATTTGTCTTAAAGTAAGATGAACTAATAAATGACCTCTAACGGCCTCTTGCATATGTATAAGCGTTTAAAATCCTTTGAATCGATCCCTCTCCATATATTTCACATTCTTTGAATTCACTTCCAGCCATTATAAATTCTATTACGCTTAAGAATGACATTATTCCGTGGAACCTGGCGAGTCTAACTATTATGTTAGATAATTCCGGGCAACATTCCACGATTTCACGAGCTTTAGAATCAGCAGAACAAACGCAACAAAAGTGTATTTTTGACCAGCTTCTTTCCGTTTTATATTACCTTTTAAAGAGATGTGTAGAATCTNTAATCATAATGTAATATTTTGCTAGGTACTTATTTGTATCTTTTACAATTTGCGAAGTAATTTTCTGAAATGATAAAATGATTGATAATTCCATTTGCCTATGACATACACTGAGATTTTTAGGTAAAATTGTGGAATATTTTACTCTAAAAATAAAAATAAATTGGTTGTAGTTATGCATATTTAAATTGTTTACCTAATTTTTTAGAGTCTCTTAAAAGCTCAAAGTGGGTCAATTATGGTTACTTTGAGTACACAACTAATAAACGACGATGTTCCCGAATGTAGAAAAAACATTGTAAATTGTTTAACGAATATGTTCAAAAGATTAGCTAAACCTGAACGAGATCCGTTATTCGATATCGTTAAATTATGGTTACTGGACGAAAAGGTAAGTACCATTAAAGTATATAATACAAAGTAAACTTAATAAAAGGAATTTAATTACAGATTAATCATAGACGATTAGCTATACAGCTTTGTGGTATTTTCATAGATGTAGAAAAATCTAATTTTGAATCACGGATACCTCCCCTAATGCCCATTTTATTATCTCAATTCAATGAAAAAGAGAAAAGTTTTACGGTGTCATTAAGCAAGGCAGAGTCATTAAATGTAGGATTGGACCAATGGACAAAAGATCACTACTTGTTTCAGTTATTACAAACTTTATTGAAATTATATTTTCATTGTTCGGCAACTTTTAAACAAATGAAAGAAATGGAAATTTTTGCATCATACGCACAGTCACTACTTAATTACCCTCATGAATGGGTTCGACTCTCATCCGCACAATTTTTGGGTTTTGTACTCTCAGATATTAATATAGAAGAATTAGCTGATTGTATAAAACATAACAAGTCTAACAAAAGTGGGGGATATCTTTACAGTGATCCTAGAATCAATATTAAATCCCTTACATTCGATTTGTGTGCAATACTTCAAACTGATGCTAAACATCAAGAACTGTCTGAACAGGTTATAAAGAATTTAGTTTTTATAGCACGAATTTGCGAAAAAGTTCAATTTAAAGAAGAAGAAGAGCAACTTCCGGACTTATTTTGGTTGTTAAAAAGGATGAGAAAGATTAGCAATTGGGAATTAGTACATTCACCAAAAGAAACATTTATCAGAAAATCGGTCTTTAAATGGATAGCAGGAATAAGCACAGTCTTAGAAAATAATCAAGTCAGATTGGTACTACCGATACTTTTACCTCCACTGATAAGAGAAATGACAGTCGCTGATACTGATAACACGTTGCAACAATTGTCAAAGGAAGTAGCTAATATTTTAAAGCAAAGAGTTGGTGAAGATTTTTACTCTGCAGAAGTATCGAAAGCAAAACAAAAATTATTATTAAAACAAGCCGAAAGGAGAAGGGTTAATAAACAAATGGCAGTTGCAGACTCTGAGTTACATGCAAAGAAAAAAATTAAAAGGAATTTAAAAAAGAAGGAGAGTAAAAAGAAAACTCTTGCTATTATTAAAAATAAAATACACAGAAAAGTAAAAAAATAGTACTTTAGATATAAAAAGGGAAGGCTCAGGCGGCAATTCACACATGGTCTGTAATAGTCCACTTTCTTCCCGAGGTATGTATGCCATTTTTTATCACATTTGTGCAGAAAGTTCGTCACTTCGGCTATTTGTTTATTTCATTGACCGTCTATGTTACTTAGTATAGTGTTGCCAGTTTAATTTTTACAGTTTGAATAGGTGTTATATGTAGATATATGTGATACTTATTTTTAGAAATAAAAAGAAATTAAAAATAANGCTTGGACTTCCACCTCCACTCCTACCTATCCTGAGCTAATCTTCGCATTTCCCTAAAGCTAAAACATCCTACATCCTTAACTATTTGCGAACAGTAATCAAATCTAGATCTATCTCTACTTCTTTTAACTCCTGTTTCTGCCTCTAATATGTCTCTGACTAAACCTTCATGCCTGAGAAGTTGTCCTACCAACCTATCTCTCCTATTTTTTATTAACCTCCATAGAGTCTTCTGTTCTCCTATTTAAACAATTGCACCTCTTAAGAAATTTAAATATTCATAGCTTCCAAATAGAATTGAGATGGTGGTACTAGCATTTGTTATTATAAGTTTGATATGGGATAAATGTGGTAGTAGTTGTACTGTATCCTTTTAAGAATGGGAATTTACAATACACGAACAATTGTTTCATTTATGTAATCTAATTGGAATATTGAAAATTCAAGTGTTTTATAAAGGGTATTATTATACGTTATGGATTCCTCATGACTATCAGTTTCGTTCAGAAAATGATGAATTTGCGTAAGTTCTTTTGGCTTGAATAGATCCAAGTTTTTGGGATTGAATTCATTGCTATATGCGATGGCTATTTCTAGAGTGCGGACTAGGTCTATTTAATTATTATTTTGAGCAGTTAAGATGAATTGGATAATTTATTCCACTTCTGTATTTAGATTACTTACGAAGAATATTCAAATCATAATATTAATTTATACGATTTATTTTATGTTGAACAAAATTAAACTTGTAATAAACGTATAAAGGTAACAAAAGTATAACTAAGCGAAATAATTACGATGACTTAAACTTAAATACAGTGGATTTCGGGTATAACGACGACGAAGGGACCACTGTAATTTCGTCGTTATATCCGGAAGTCGTTACAGGCAAAGATATAAGGATACAGACACGTATATATAGTTTTCACCATTGTTTAATTTTCAAACGATTTCCGCCTTTTTTTAACAGTAAATGTACATCTAGGAGCCATACTTATTCAAAAGTTTGATAAACAGTTGCTACTCAGAATATCACTTTGTAACTGAACTATTTTAACGTATAACATCTATAAACAAACGATAACGGTCACCATATACTTGCTGACCCTCTTTGTGGATGTAAACAAAAGATAAGAAAGCTCTTTGCGTTTTTGGTGGCCGACTCCGATCGCTATATCTGCATGGGATTACTAGGGATTTGTTATGAATGATTCATTAAAAACAGTTGCTACACCCGAACTCGGTGTTACATCCGAAGTCGCTATAACCACAAGAAGTTTGTACTAATGTATCCTTTAAATTCAAGGGACTTAGATTTAACGTCGCTTTAGCAAAATGGTCGCTATAACCAANCTTCAAAAAGAGCAATGTATTATGATGGATTTAGATTACTTACGAAGAATATTCAAATGATAACATTAATTTATATAATTTATTTTATGTCTATCAAAAATATGATGACTTAAACTAAACATTTCCCTATAAACTTGTATTACGACCACGAAACAACTGATCCTAAACTAAAAATGAAAGCACTAAATTACGTATGTATGAAACAAAAAGAAATATATGAGCGACCAATTAAGCCATCATTAAATGAATAAAACAAAATGAATAAATAAGTAGTAGTTCATGATTTATTTATCTTTTTCGGATCATTAAGGGTCAACACGAAATGCCTCATCAGAAAATTAATTAAACTAGTACAGTCAAACCTGGGTAAGCGAGAATTCAAGGACCCGAATATTATTCTTACTCATAGAGTTTTCTCATTTAAAGTTTAATAAAAATCGAACATGAACATGGCGCTAGAGCGTTAAGAAATAAGTAATACATAAGTATATACACATTANTTACTAAATTTATTTGCATATGTACATTAAATTGAAAATTAATTTTATAATAAACAACAAAATCAATTAAAAAATTAACAAACACCAACTTATAATAGTAACAAAAAAATAAAATTCTCCAATTCCTTTACCAACATGTTTCTTCTGTTTTTATTTGCCATAATTTATAATAATGCTTTCAATTTTCTCTATGTGTATTTTTATAATTTCTCCTTCGAAATTGTTCTAATGTTGATGTGATGTTTGTGTTGCTCTGGATTGCTTTTTATTGTTGCAATCTCTTTGTACTACTGTTGGTTGACGTTCATTATTTGCCTCTGAATTATCTGTTTTTACTGAAATATTTTCTTTATTTTCCACGCAATTATTTCACTAATTTTTCTTTATTTAGTTCTCCATTATCATTATTTACATTTAAATCGCCCTGCTGTGTTCGTTTCTTAAATTATTTATCTGTCGCTAATTTAGTTTCATTATTGTCTGTTACGCTACTAAGCGGCCGTTTTCAGTTATCATTTAATTCTAATAATTCGTTGTCGGGATACATTGTTATACTGTAAGGTTTTCCTGAGTTTGATATTTTTGTATAAATATCGTTGTTGATTGTTGTTAATGTTGTGCCGGAATTTGCAAGCAACGTAGAAGATTTTCTTCTGAAGCAGTGTCCTGTTATCTTTGATATTTTTCTAAATTTAAATAACATACAATGTTTTTCGGTACTTCAGCAATTTTATTTTTGTCGATCACTTGACGGCTACATTCATACTTGCAGTAATAAGCAAAAAACCGATCCATCTCAATATCGTTTGGCATCAATGCCACATATTCTTCCACTTTTTTATAATATCAAGCGCATATAACTAAAAATCTTGGATAGCAATTTTTGGTATCTCTTATACTGATTATCAATTGACTTCCAGTGTTTTCAATATCTCTGATGGTGATTTTTTGCAGTTCAGCCGATTTTAATGCTCCACATATTCCAAAAATCAAAATCGCCTGAAACAACAATTATTGACAAATTTTCGCATTTCTATAACATGTACAATACAATATTCTCATTCATTAAACTGTTATTGACCACATATATTATTGAGAATATATGTTTAACTTACTTTAATGGCGAGGTATACATCATCAGGTGCTTTCTCTAAAAATTTGTTAATTTCTACTGATGTTAACACTTTCGCTTTTTTCGATTGGTACATTTTCAATCTAGGAAATNGGTATACTTCTACTCCTCCTAACTCCCTTTTAGGCCTCTAATATGTCTCTGACTAGACCTTCATGCCTGAGAAGGTGTCCTACTAACCTATCTCGCTTATTTCTTACTGACGTCCATAGAATCCTCTGTTCTCATATTCTTTCTAATACCTCTTCATTCCTAACCTGCTCTATCCACGGTATAACACCACATTTCGAAAGTTTCTAACCTTTTCTTTTTTTCCGCGCCCACTGTCCATTTTTCGCACCCGTACAGCGCGGCACTCCAAACATACACCTTTAACAACCTTTTTCGAACTTCTAAATTAACCGTTTGCGAGCATAGAAGTGACTTCTTTTTATTAAAGGCGACCGTGCGCTATCCTCTGCTTATATTCCTACTACTCCTTCCGTCCTGACATATCTGACTTCTTAGATACCAAAAATCAGCCACTTCTTCTAATTTATCGTCTCCTATCTTTTATTCACTCTTTCCCTACTTTTTGTTCCTTTTCATACTAGTATGTTTGTTTTACTTTTATTTATTTTCATACAGTACTGTTTTGTCAGTAGGTACCGCTTCCATTTTATTTCCTCCTTGCTATACTGCCCCTGTATATCTATTCCTACAGTTGTACTGTCTCTATTGCTGCCTGTTGCTCTGTATACAAACTAAGTATTACTCTTCTATCTGTGTAACTCATCCCTACTGTATATTTAACAACTTGTCCCATTTAACATTGTCAAAAGCTTTTTCTAAATCTGCAAATCCTATGTACGTACTCTTTCCGTTTTGTATCGTTTTGTCTATTGTTACCCGTAAAGCTAGAATGGCCTCCCGCGTTCCTCTATTTTTTCTAAACTGAAATCCCCTAATAGTTCTTCTGTCCTTTTCTCCATCCATCTTTGTACAATTCTAGTTAAGATTTTTGACGCATGGGAAGTTAAGCTAATTGCTCTAAATGTCTCGCACCTATCCGCGCTTTCCTTTTTAGGTATGGTTTGGTTAGGTTACTACCACGTTCCGTTTATAATCATCTGTAACTTCCCCGTCTCGTAGATGTGACTAACTAGCTTAAACATACGATCTCTACTCCCCTGTCCTGCATGTTTTAGAATTTACCTACCCCTGTAACCCATCTACGGCTGGGCTACAAATCAAACAACAATTCTTCTTCTTGTTTCACGTTTTTTTGTTTTTGGATTAATTGGTCAGATGCATCTTCACAACATATAAAACACAAATATGCATAAACAAAATTTCTATAACATGTACAATACAATATTCTCATTCATTAAACTGTTATTGACCACATATATTATTGAGAATACCTATATGTTTAACTTACTTTGATGGCGAGGTATACATCATCAGGTGCTTTCTCTAAAAATTTGTTAATTTCTACTGATGTTAACACTTTCGCTTTTTTCGATTGGTACCCTTTTGATTTATTTTTTATAAACATTTTCAATCTAGGAAATGTACTTATGTTGATTCCAAGAACTGGGTCTTATACTTTTTGTTAGTTCATTGAAATACACCAGAAGAGTGTTCGTCTACAGCTGTTGTCTTGTTTTTCCTTTTCCACTTCATAAAATGGTTGTAACACGTTTTATGTCTAGCATTTGATTTGGTAGGCAATACATTTTCTGTAATATTCTTTGCCTCATTTTTAATATCAATATCCCAATTATCCGCAGACAGGGAATCACTCGAACTTTCTGAACTCATTATGAAACACTCACTCACTCTAATTTAAAAACTCAACAATTAATCCGAACCATCACACTAAATCATCCGTATGTTCACTAAGGGAATCCGACACATTATGCGACGCGCGCTTGTTATTCGTCAGGGATTCCCAACTGTCGAGGACATCCGTCCGCTGATTTTGATATACTCCAAAATTTAAAATTTTTCTCTATATAAAAATTTATTATGCTACGCTTAAAAATTATTACACATACATTTTTGGTAACAATTTTCTTAAACCTTTCAGATTTGGTTGTCTTAAAACGTATGGTTTACAATCGTGCTCATGCTCATAAAATTCAAATTTCTTTCCGTACGGATGGAAAACACGCGTACTTCCGTTCATGTATAGAGGATAGGGAAGTCGAACTTTCTGCGGAAGTGTAACAAAAAGGAAGTCATCTGTTGAAATGCTTCTAATGAGTTTCATTGAAACATTAATTACACTTATCTAGGAAACTTTATTTAACCAAAAGTTATATTTTTACAACAAACTAAAAAATTAAATCTTATTTCTCCTACCTTTGTCCGCTCCCTGAACCACTCCTTCATCCGTTCCTGCTTGATTTTTAAAATCTTCAACGCTCCCTCCNAAAAGTTTTAATAAAACCTTAACTAGTATAAACGCTAACGAAGAGATAATTAATAAGAATTTCGAGGAAGTTAAAACTTAAAGTTCATCAAACTAAGTTTACCGTAACTGTTCTGAATACCACCTTTTTGTTATTAGAATTGACTCTTGAATTACAACAGCAAGTTAGTTTAATCAAAGAAATTGTCGTTTTACCCAATATTATGTCGTCCAGTCAATTCTTTGGAACTAAAAGAAAATGCAAAACACATTGAGGAAAAAGAGTTGCCATTTCCACTAAATAACTCAAATCTTAATAAATCCCTTTTACTTATAAAAAGTAAAACATTTCTCTTTAACGAAAGCCTTTTGACGATTATTGAAATACCGTTGGTCGCAAAACAAATACAGTAAAATCTGGGAAAGCGAGAATTCAAGGGACCCGAATGTTATTCTCACTCATAGAGTTTTCTCATTTAAAGAGTTTAATAAAAATCGAACATGAACATGGCGCTAGAGCGTTAAGAAATAAGTAATACATAAGTATATACACATTTGGCTATAACTAGGTACCTACTTATTTTATTTATTTAAAGAAATCAGTTAATTTTTTCTGAGTATCCTTTTTACAATTTTGAATGTTTTTCAATTTCATAAATTTTATCAAAAATTAAATCACTTAATTTTTCGCTTCAACATTTTGAGGGAACAACAACAGACATACTTTCTCCAATGATTGTTATCAACTGAAACCAAATGTTGAGGATGAGTACCATGAGCAGGTAGGAACAAGCGCACAAGTTTGCTGCAGGTGTCTAGTAATTGTAAACAATCTCGCTTGCAGAGGTCTAGAGTAAGAAACTGTCGCTGACAGAGGTCTAGAAGTGAAAAATGACTCTCTCTAAAAGAGGTACTTACACTGTCACTCATAGAGGTTTTCGGGGCTAAAAATGACGGCCTGACTATTTTTGTCGCTCGTGGAGTTTTCTCACTTATCCAGTTTTCGCTTATCAAGGTTCGACTGTATGTAGTATCTACCATGGTAACAGTGTAATAGCACGCATTTACTAAGGTACTAAAGGTCAACTCAAAAAACATAATAATTAACGTTGACAATTCTCTAATAAAACTCTGCAATGTTTTTAGCCGTATATTAATCAAAAAAACTATGTACAAACTTGTAAGGGACACTTAAGAATTAACATTCAGAAGAACCTGAACATAGTAATTAAGTAGAATTAACTTAGCGAGACATAACTTAGCTAGGATACATGAAGCTTAAGTCGACTTAACGAGAGTTTTTCGAAAACTTCTTACTTATTGTACCCAATAACTCAATTTATAGAATTCAATACCAAGTAGGGGTAGGGGTGGTACCGCCACCCCCATCTCTTTTTCTGAAGACACTTTGATAATAATACTGTTCTACTACCTTGCGCGAACAGCGGAGAAGTGAAAGAGTGGGTGATATTTTTCACCTATATCACGAAGGAAAAAGATAGGAAGTTGGAGATAATAAAGAGCAAGATATAAAATGTAAAAGATAGTAGTGTAAAACTAACTGTATAACTTAACGTTACAATAAAGTATTCTAATAAGATTTGATTTTTTAAGTTATATTGCATTTGGCAGCCTGACTATTTTTTTGGCAAAAGCTTTCAGTAAAATCTAAGTCTTGTCAAAATTTCAGCCGAATCGATATGGCCGTTTTAATGTTATGAAAAGTCCCGCTTCTTGGTGGACTGTCCTGCGTCTCGCCAATTTTTAAAAATGTCCCGCTTTTTAGAAAATAAGTGCATTTCTTATTTTAAATGTGCTATAAAAAT